GGGAAGGGATACCATCCTCCCATGCTGAGGGAAGGGATACCATCCTCCCATGCTGAGGGAAGGAATACCATCCTCCCATGCTGAGGGAAGGAATACCATCCTCCCATGCTGAGGGAAGGGATACCATCCTCCCATGCTGAGGGAAGGAATACCATCCTCCCATGCTGAGGGAAGGGATACCATCCTCCCATGCTGAGGGAAGGAATACCATCCTCCCATGCTGAGGGAAGGAATACCATCCTCCCATGCTGAGGGAAGGGATACCATCCTCCCATGCTGAGGGAAGGGATACCATCCTCCCATGCTGAGGGAAGGGATACCATCCTCCCATGCTGAGGAAAGGAATACCATCCTCCCATGCTGAGGAAAGGAATCCCACCCCTCCCATGCTGGGGGAAGGAATACCATCCTCCCATGCTGAGGAAAGGATACCATCCTCCCATGCTGAGGAAAGGAATACCATCCTCCCATGCTGAGGAAAGGAATACCATCCTCCCATGCTGAGGAAAGGAATACCATCCTCCCATGCTGAGGGAAGGAATACCATCCTCCCATGCTGAGGAAAGGAATACCATCCTCCCATGCTGAGGGAAGGGATACCATCCTCCCATGCTGAGGGAAGGGATACCATCCTCCCATGCTGAGGAAAATAATACCATCCTCCCATGCTGGGGGAAGGAATATCCCCCTGCTGAGGGAAGGATACCATCCCCAGTGCTGAGGAAGGAATACCATCCTCCATGCTGAGGGAAGGAATACCATCCTCCAATGCTGAGGGAAGGGATACCATCCTCCAGTGCTGAGGGAAGGAATACCATCCTCCAATGCTGAGGGAAGGAATACCATCTTCCCATAATGAGGGAAGGAATACCATCCTCCCATACTGAGGAGAAGGGATACCATCCTCCCATGATGAAGGAAGGAATACCATCCTCCGATAATGAGGGAAGGAATACCATCCTCCCATGTTAAGGGAAGGGATACCATCCTCCCATGCTGAGGGAAGGAATACCATGCTCTCATGATGAGGGAAAGGATACCATCCTCCCATGGTGAGGGAAGGGATACAATCCTCCCATGCTGAGGGAAGGGATACCATCCTCCCATGCTGAGGGAAGTGATACCATCCTCCTGTTTCTCCATGTGGTACTGTTAGTAAGTCACTTGTGTCCGATTCGTAAGCATGAGAAGTGTCCCCAACCCGACTGTCGTGGGAAGATGACCCACAACACAATCTTAGTTTGAACATCAAAATGGTATACAATACCGACAGGTTGTTAGGTAAGACACATATGCAACAGTTAGACAACCTTATTCGGAATAAAGTGACTACTGTTTCATATGTGCCTTCCTCACAATCTTAGTTTATTAGAAAACTGTTCCAATCTAACTCAGATCGTCTTTTGTTTTGCCAGTGGTAGAGCGAAGTTGTTGAGAGTCCAAGAAAGATATACCTTGTGGGGAACTTGGAGGTCATGAAGAACTGACCGATAGAGATAGATGGTGTAAAATACCGACACGATGGGAAAATAGACACAAATGCAGTATAAAGCCGAATCGTTCCAATTGACAACGTTTCGACACGACAGTGACTATTATCATCCCTAAACAATCTGATTGTTTGTGACTTCATAAAGGATCGTATTATATTGTATTTATATTTATTTTCCCAAGTGCTGCCCAGTCTGTTCACTGCCTTGAACATCAGCGTGTCCAGGGATTCATGTTCACTGCCTTGAACATCAGCGTGTCCAGGGATTCATGTTCACTGCCTTGAACATCAGCGTGTCCAGGGACTCTGTTCACTGCCTTGAACATCGCGTGTCCAGGGACTCATGTTCACTGCCTTGAACATCAGCGTGTCCAGGGACTCATGTTCACTGCCTTGAACATCAGCGTGTCCAGGGACTCATGTTCACTGCCTTGAACATCGGCGTGTCCAGGGACTCATGTTCACTGCCTTGAACATCGGCGTATCCAGGGACTCATGTTCACTGCCTTGAACATCGTCGTGTCCAGGGACTCATGTTCACTGCCTTGAACATCAGCGTGTCCAGGGACTCATGTTCACTGCCTTGAACATCAGCGTGTCCAGGGACTCATGTTCACTGCCTTGAACATAGTCGTGTCCAGGGACTCATGTTCACTGCCTTGAACATCGGCGTGTCCAGGGACTCATGTTCACTGCCTTGAACATCAGCGTGTCCAGGGACTCATGTTCACTGCCTTGAACATCAGCGTGTCCAGGGACTCATGTTACACTGCCTTGAACATCCGGCGTTCCAGGGACTCATGTTCACTGCCTTGAACATCAGCGTGTCCAGGGACTCATGTTCACTGCCTTGAACATCGGCGTGTCCAGGGACTCATGTTCACTGCCTTGAACATCAGCGTGTCCAGGGACTCATGTTCACTGCCTTGAACATCCTCGTGTCCAAGGACTCATGTTCACTGCCTTGAACATCGGCGTGTCCAGGGACTCATGTTCACTGCCTTGAACATCAGCGTGTCCAGGGACTCATGTTCACTGCCTTGAACACCGGCGTGTCCAGGGACTCATGTTCACTGCCTTGAACATCTCGTGTCCAGGACTCATGTTCACTGCCTTGAACACCGGCGTGTCCAGGGACTCACGTTCACTGCCTTGAACATCGGCGTGTCCAGGGCTCGTGTTCACTGCCTTGAACATCGGCGTGTCCAGGGACTCATGTTTACTGCCTTGAACATCGGCGTGTCCAGGGACTCATGTTCACTGCCTTGAACATCGCGTGTCCAGGGACTCATGTTCACTGCCTTGAACATCGGCGTGTCCAGGGACTCATGTTCACTGCCTTGAACATCGGCGTGTCCAGGGACTCATGTTCACTGCCTTGAACATCAGCGTGTCCAGGGACTCATGTTCACTTGCCTTAAAAAACGTCGTGTCCAGGACTCATGTTCACTGCCTTGAACATCGCGTGTCCAGGGACTCATGTTCACTGCCTTGAACATCAGCGTGTCCAGGGACTCATGTTCACTGCCTTGAACATCGGCGTGTCCAGGGACTCATGTTCACTGCCTTGAACATCAGCGTGTCCAGGGACTCATGTTCACTGCCTTGAACACCGGCGTGTCCAGGGACTCACGTTCACTGCCTTGAACATCGGCGTGTCCAGGGACTCGTGTTCACTGCCTTGAACATCGGCGTGTCCAGGGACTCATGTTTACTGCCTTGAACATCGGCGTGTCCAGGGACTCATGTTCACTGCCTTGAACATCGGCGTGTCCAGGGACTCATGTTCACTGCCTTGAACATCGGCGTGTCCAGGGACTCATGTTCACTGCCTTGAACATCAGCGTGTCCAGGGACTCATGTTCACTGCCTTGAACATCAGCGTGTCCAGGGACTCAGTTCACCTGCCTTATAACATCGCTGTGATGCCAGGGATCATGTTCTCACTGCTTGACATCGGCGGTGTCCAGGGACTCCATGTTCATGCCTTTGAACATCAGCGTGTCAGGCTCATGTCACTGCCTTGAACATCAGCGTGTCCAGGGACTCATGTTCACTGCCTTGAACATCGGCGTGTTGCAGTATACATCAGCTAGTGTTGCAGTATACATCAGCTAGTGTTGCAGTATACATCAGCTAGTGTTGCAGTATACATCAGCTAGTGTTGCAGTATACAGCAGCTAGTGTTGCAGTATGCATCAGCTAGTGTTGCCGTATGCATCAGCTAGTGTTGCAGTATACATCAGCTAGTGTTGCAGTATACAGCAGCTAGTGTTGCAGTATACATCAGCTAGTGTTGCAGTATACATCAGCTAGTGTTGCAGTATACAGCAGCTAGTGTTGCAGTATACATCAGCTAGTGTTGCAGAATACATCAGCTAGTGTTGCAGTTAGCACAGCTAGTGTTGCAGTATACATCAGCTAGTGTTGCAGTATACAGCAGCTAGTGTTGCAGTATACATCAGCTAGTGTTGCAGTATACAGCAGCTAGTGTTGCAGTATACATCAGCTAGTGTTGCAGTATACAGCAGCTATGTGCTGCAAGTATACATCAGCTAGTGTTGCAGTATACAGCAGCTAGTGTTGCAGTATACATCAGCTAGTGTTGCAGTATACATCAGCTAGTGTTGCAGTATACAGCAGCTAGTGCTGCAGTATACATCAGCTAGTGTTGCAGTATACAGCAGCTAGTGTTGCAGTATGCATCAGCTAGTGTTGCAGTATACATCAGCTAGTGTTGCAGTATACATCAGCCTTCATAATTCAGGTAGAGTCGATAGGCTTTAAGCTTAAACTGGCCGACCTTGATGGACCTTGTAAGACTTACCGCGCATATAATTTTTTTTTTCAAGTAAGCTAATTTTAATTTTAGCCTTGACAGGTCGAGTGAGGATACTGCAAAGTCGAGCGCATCATATGTACCGCGTGAGGTTGATAAGTGGGATTTTGTTGGTCATCAGGAATACGTAAACTCCTGACGCGGTTCTTAGTCATTTGACGACCCTCATTACACAAATAACCCGCACATAAGAGAATTAAACTTTATGACGACGTTTTGGTCTGACTTGGACCATTAACTAGTCACTCTAACACTGTCAGTGGTCCATTTGCGGGTTATCTGTGTATGTTCCCGTCACGGTATTGTGATTTTATGTTCTTTATGATCCACATAATGAAACTTTTCGTTATTAAACCACAGCATCCACTGACTTACTGGTCCACCTCTTAAACACTAAACATCACATACTACAATGTGATAATAACCTTTATGCCCTATTTTATATAAGAAAGAAATCACCACACTGAAGTAACCGGGGTAGAACAATCCAAAGTAAAATAAATGCCATTGATCGAGAAAAAATGTGTGAAGGGAGCTTTATACGTTTGTTAAACAGCCAGGGAAAAGAAACACATAGCGAGGGCCAGTAGCTGCCACCCGACCGCCGCAACCACAAATAAGTGAGTACACACACAGGGACAATTATGAGGAAAGTCTGAGGATTCTCACCTTCGCTCCAGCCTCAAGAGGATTCCAGTAGACGACGATAGCGTTGTGGGCGATCTCTTCTATACAGCCCACCAGACCCACGCTGTTCTTGGTGTCTGCAGAAGAAAATTGGGATTAAACTAAAACGTAGTACTCCCTGAGAGAGAGAGAGAAAGAGAGAGAGAGAGAGAGAGAGAGAGAGAGAGAGAGAGAGAGAGAGAGAGAGAGAGAGAGAGAGAGAGAGAGAGAGAGAGTATTGCCTGAAATAGTGCACATGCGCACATTAACTTTCTTTACAAATATTACAGACCAAAGTGTTAATATTGATAGTTTTGCTATTACTACCACAACTACTACCGATACCATTAAAACATATACTACGATTACTACTAAAAATAATACTTTTGCTAATACAACTACTATATATAATATTACTGGCACTGTTGCAGAGGTCTGAACTTTGCTCAGACCTCTACAACACAGCTGTCCTCTAAGATTTTTTAAGTTAAACCATAAATTAAGGAAAGATCCTGGACTTCACTTTACGAAAGCAGACAAAGCAAATGCGATAGTAATTATGGACAAGGTAGATTATAGGGGAAAAATAAAGATGGTATTAGGAGACAAGGAAACTCACGAGCTTCTTAATGTCCTCTTTCTCTGTTCTTCTTCGTCCTCACCGAAACTCGGGTAACGAATACTGTTGAAGAGTAAGACACCTGTGCAATTTGGGTGTCTTTATTGAGGAAACGTTTCGCTAGACAGTGGCTTCATCAGTCCAATACAAAGAAGAACAGTGGAAAAAGAGGAGTAGTTTGAGGTAATCAGTCCCTCAACCTGGAGTCGATATGTTCAGTCCATCAGTCTTGAAGAAAGTATATGTAACATATACTTCAGATGAACAGCATATGCTGCATATCCTGTTCTTGTTTGTACTGGACTAATAAAACCACTGTGCGGCGAAACGTTTCCACAATAAAGATTCCCAAACATTGCACAAGTCTCAGTCTTCAACTTATCGGTTTTTAAACCATTCATCACAACGAATGCTGTTGCCACTGACATTTAATTTTTTTCAATATAAAATTTTTCTTCTCTCTCCTGTTCCACTTGCATCATTTAAGCCAGTGGCTCTTAATCCTTTTTTTCTGTCTATACCCTTTTTATTTTATTCCATATTGCTTGTGAAAAGTAATTAAAAAGTTTAATGTCTTTCGAACCTCGTCTATATTGTTTACAAGGTATAAATGTGAAGTAGATCAATGACTAAAGTTATGACTAAGAACTTATAAGTCTTCAGTTATAATCAGAAACTAAACATGTCTTGTTTAGTGTTGTTGTTGTTGTGTTGTTGATATACGGTTGTTAGTTACAACTAAGCACACGCATGTCAACACTTGCATCGAGATGATTTCTATCTTTTGTTTTATGAGAAGTGGTGTTGAAAAAGCTGCTTCACACACCCAGGTGTTGACACCTGCCACGGGAACCTCAGATGTTTTTTCCTGCTAACTGTATTGTGAATTAATGAGATTGTACCGTATCCCCTGCTGAGCTTTTTCGAACATCCAGGGGGGAGGGGGGGGGGTGACGTACAGGTACCCCTGGTTAAGGACCACTGGTTTAAGCTCTCTGTATATGTAGTAAATTATTCTCTGTATGTATAGTTAAATCACGAAGAGCTTATCCTCTACATCTCTAAACAAACTTTGAACGCTCCGTCTGGTCTCTTATTAAAAGAATAAAAGAGATCTCATTTTACTTCTGCAAGTCTTTTTTTTTCATCTTTCGTATTTATGCCGTATCTCTATATATGTCTTTTCGCTAACAAAGTTAGTGTTACTGATACTTATCTCTGTGACTGATCAATGCAGCCTTCCTGGGCCTTCTCTCTTAATTTAACATTACAGTTCAGTGGTGTTTCTCCTAGTGTGTTCAGGAAACATACTCTGAACCTACATCAGTAATGACTGTTCCTCATTGACTATCTAGAAAACATTGCCTTCTACCTGGATAGCATCGTCTTCGTTCTACCTGACGTAACAAATGACAGCGACTTATCCTCACTATCCTTACTATTCTGACTTCTAATATTTTGTTTTGCTGTAATCCTGTTCTTAAATCAATAGTTTCAAAACGTCGAGAAGTGTAATTTGTGTTAATTGTCAGAATGGTTTGTGAGGCACCGCAGCTGCTGCCACCTTCTATCGTCACTCTCTTGGTTGGTCCCTCACTTACAAAAGTCCTAGGACTATATCTCTGAATAATGAGAAATGTAATTTTGTGCTTTGGTACATAATAAGAAAAAAATGTTCTCTAGCATTGAATCTGCTCTCCTAGTGCTCTCCCTCTGCTCCTTCTATCTCTCTCATCTCATCTCTGTTCTCTCTCTCTCTCGTCTGCTCTCTGTCTCACACACAGACGTGTTGAGTCAATTTCTTTAGATCTTTGGAGGTGTCCCTGGTCTCTCGCTTAGGAGGATGTCCTGGTTTTCCTCGTCTTCAGGAAGGGTGTCTGGTTTCCTCTCCTTCAGGAGTGTGTCGCCCTGTCCTCTCCTTTAAAGGTGTACCGGATCCATCCCTTTGGAAGTGTATCCACTGGTTTCGACTCTCCTTAGGAAGGTGTCCCTGGTCTCCTCTCCTTTAGGAAGGTGTCCCTGGTTTCCTCTCCTTCAGGAAGGTGTCCCTGGTCTCCTCTCCTTCAGGAAGGTGTCCCTGGTCTCCTCTCCTTTAGGAAGGTGTCCCTGGTCTCCTCTCCTTCATGAAGGTGTCCCTGGTCTCCTCTCCTTTAGGAAGGTGTCCCTGGTCTCCTCTCTTCATGAAGGTGTCCCTGGTTCCTCTCCTTCAGGAAGGTGTCCCTGGTCTCCTCTCCTTCAGGAAGGTGTCCCTGGTCTCCTCTCCTTTAGGAAGGTGTCCCTGGTCTCCTCTCCTTTAGGAAGGTGTCCCTGGTTCCTCTCCTTCAGGAAGGCTGTCCTGGTCTCCTCTCCTTCAGGAATGGTGTCCCTGGTCTCCTCTCCTTCAGGAAGGTGTCCTGGTCTCCTCTCCTTCATGGAAGGTGTCCCTGGTCTCCTCTCCTTCAGGAAGGTGTCCCTGGTTTTCCTCTCCTTTAGGAAGGTGTCCCTGTGTCTCCTCTCCTTCAGGAAGTGTCCCTGGTTTCCTCTCCTTCAGGAAGTGTCCCTGTCTCTTCTTTAGAAGGTGTCCCTGGTCTCCTCTCCTTTAGGAAGGTTGTCCCTGGTTTCCTTTCCTTCAGGAAGGTGTCCCTGGTCTTCTCTCCTTCAGGAAGGTGTCCTGGTCTCCTCTCCTTCAGGAAGGTGTCCCTGGTCTCCTCTCCTTCAGGAATGTGTCCCTGGTTTTCTCTCCTTTAGGAAGGTGTCCCTGGTCTCCTCTCCTTCAGGAAGGTGTCCCTGGTCTCCTCTCCTTCAGGAAGGTGTCCCTGGTTTCCTCTCCTTCAGGAAGGTGTCCCTGGTCTCCTCTCCTTTAGGAAGGTGTCTCTGGTTTCCTCTCCTTCAGGAAGGTGTCCCTGGTCTAGTCTCCTTCAGGAAGGTGTCCCTGGTCTCCTCTCCTTTAGGAAGGTGTCCCTGGTTTCCTCTCCTTGAGAAAGGTGTCCCTGGTCTCCTCTCCTTCAGGAAGGTGTCCCTGGTCTCCTCTCCTTCAGGAAGGTGTCCCTGGTTTCCTCTCCTTGAGAAAGGTGTCCCTGGTCTCCTCTCCTTCAGGAAGGTGTCCCTGGTTTCCTCTCCTTCAGGAAGGTGTCCCTGGTCTCATCTCCTTTAGGAAGGTGTCCCTGGTCTCCTCTCCTTTAGGAAGGTGTCCCTGGTCTCCTCTCCTTTAGGAAGGTGTCCCTGGTTTCCTCTCCTTCAGGAAGGTGTCCCTGGTCTCCTCTCCTTCAGGAAGGTGTCCCTGGTTCCTCTCCTTCAGGAAGGTGTCCCTGGTCTCCTCTCCTTAGGAAGGTGTCCCTGGTCTCTCTCCTTCAGGAAGGTGTCCCTGGTCTCCTCTCCTTCAGGAAGGTGTGTCCCTGGTTCTCCTCTCCTTCAGGAAGGTGTCCCTAGTCTCCTCTCCTTCAGGAAGTGTGTCTCTGGTCTCCTCTCCTTCAGGAAGTGTCCCTGTCTTCTCTCCTTTAGGAAGGGTTCTCTGGTCTCCTCTCCTTCAGGAAGGTGTCCCTAGTCTCCTCTCCTTTAGGAAGGTGTCCCTGTTTCCTCTCCTTCAGGAAGGTGTCCTGGTCTCATATCCTTCAGGAAGGTGTCCCTGTCTCCTCTCCTTCAGGAAGGTGTCTCTGGTTCCTCTCTTCAGGAAGTGTCCCTAGTCTTCCTCTCCTTAGGAAGGTGTCCTGGTCTCCTCTCCTTCAGGAAGGTGTCTTCTGGTCTTCCTCTCCTTCAGGAAGGTGTCCCTGGTTTCCTCTCCTTCAGGAAGGTGTCCCTGGTCTCCTCTCCTTCAGGAAGGTGTCCCTGGTCTCCTCTCCTTCAGGAAGGTGTCTCTGGTCTCCTCTCCTTCAGGAAGGTGTCCGTCCTCTCCTTCGGAGGTTCCCTGTCTCTCTCCTTCAGGAAGGTGTCCTGGTCTCTCTCCTTCAGGAAGGTGTCCCTGGTCTCCTCTCCTTCAGGAAGGTGTCCCTGGTCTCCTCTCCTTCAGGAAGGTGTCCCTGGTCTCCTCTCCTTCAGGAAGGTGTCCCTGGTCTCCTCTCCTTCAGGAAGGTGTCCCTGGTCTCCTCTCCTTCAGGAAGGTGTCCTGGTCTCCTCTCCTTCAGGAAGGTGTCCCTGGTCTCCTCTCCTTCAGGAGGAATCGTTAAAGTTGTGCAGAATACACCAGTTTTATCCCACTGGATAAGCAGTATAGACTGGCTAGTATTTCCTCTGTTCAGACTATTCCAAAATTATACTGTACTACAACAACTACTATTACTACTACTACTCTATTATTACTACTATTTACTACTACTATATTACTACTATACTATTACTACTACTACTGCTATTATTACCATACTTCTACTATTATACTAGTACTATACTATGTACTGATACTATACTACTACAATTACTATCTACTGCTGTTACTGTATTTACTATACCCCAAATTTGCTTATGGTAAGTCTGTACTAATAATAATAAAATAATAATAATAAA